AGCTCTCCAGGTGTTCCACCTCTTGCCTGTAGCTGGACTCATCATTGTTTGTGATGCATCCCACCACCGCTGTATCATCTGCAAACTACTTTACAATGTGACAGCCTGGATGGGTAGCTGCACAATCATATGTGAGCAGAGTAAACAGGAGGGGGCTCAACACACATCCCTGAGGAGAGCCAGTGCTGAGGGTTATGGTGGAGGAGGAGAAGTTGTGGATCCTCACTAACTGTGGTCCATTTGTTAAGAAGTCTAGTAGTTGCAAACGGAGGGGCTTAGTCCTAGTGTGAATAGTTTGTCCATCAGGGTTTGGGGGATCATGGTGTTGAAGGCAGATGTGAAGTCCACAAAGAGCATACAGATGTAGGAGTCCTCCTGCTCCAGGTGGTTGAGAACAATATGGACCACAGAGGAGATTGCATCCTCTGTTGATCGGTTCTCACGGTATGCATACTGATGAGGGTCTTCGTTGATGTTGATGGTTGTTCTGATGTGAGTCATGACCAGTTTTTCGAAGCATTTAGCAACTATCGGGGTGAGGGCCACTGGCCGATAGTCATTCAGACCAGTCACTGTAGAGCTTTTTGGGACTGGGATGATGGTGGCAGTCTTCAAACAGGTGGGAACTGTCTCCAGGGTAAGTGAGGTGTTAAAGATGTCTGCCAGCACCTCGCAGAGCTGATCGGCACATTCCTTCAACACTTTTCTGGGGTTGTTGTCTGGGCCGGTTGCTTCATGCAGATTAATCCTCCTGAAAGTACTCCTTACTTCTGCTGAGGTCACGCTAAGATGCTCTTCATCCAGTGGTGAGGTGAATCTAGTGCTGGGTGGTCTGTTCGGGTCTTCAAAGCGTGCAAAGAACTTGTTGAGGGCATCAGGCAGTGATAGGTCCCTAGGGCATTGTTCACTCCTGCTTGTATAACCTGTTATACACTTAATGACCCTCCACATGCTCCGAGGGTCTTGTGAGGTGAATTGACCCTCGATCCTCTGTGCATATGTGGCCTCGGCCCTGGTAATACCAGCAACCAGCTCTTTTCTTGTCCTACTCATCTCCTGTAAGTTTCCAGACCTGAAGGCAGTGTTCCTGGCTTCCAGCAGGGTGCGCACCTCTGCATTCAGCCAAGGTT